CAAGAGACTACTTCGCCCAGATTAGAAACATCAAAAACAACACAATCAAAAGACTCAACCAGGCTGACCCCATTCAAACCTTTCTAGCAACACAGACTGGATATTTACGACCGCAAGCCTTCACAGGCTTCGCCTGATCCAGGATGCCCAGAACATCCCAAGACTATACCATCTGCTAAGACACCCCTCGAACAAAAAAATTCCACTACAAGGATGCAGTGCCACCGCAATAAAATACTCCATAGCGATACCAGAGAGAGACTGGCTTGATGACAACCGCACGAAGCCCCATTACTGGTGGCTGGACACGGATGCCAAATCCATCAAGCAGCTCAGATCGCGACTCCAAAACTGCGGAGGAAACACCGGCGCTAACCAGCAGCCACGTCACTAGACATGGCCATGTAGAGTCAGAGGACGCCTGCTTCCAGTCGTCTCCACTACCCCTATGTACATACCTGCAAATAGTAACTCTAAGCACTAGTACCTAAGCACCAAAGATTAATTGTAGTTTTTTTTGCCAAACGGTCTACACTTTTTCCACGCATACAAGCCAGATTTGACTAAATAGCTAAAGTCACGATATCACACATACTATCCTCAAAGCTACCATATTTCTTAAAAGTACAAATGTACTAGATCTTAAAGAATAGCGTCTCAACACAGGCCACCTTTTTCAGCAAACAATATGTCAAATACTCATAAGGCTTTCAAGGAGTTCGTTTATGCCTTTTTCACTATTGTATACTTAAAGCACCTAAATAAACATACTCTTAAAAAAAAAAGCACCCGATGCATAATCGGAAGGTTTCGGGTTGAAATCCCGGTTTAGACTATCCATTTTTTCAGTAATTTTTCTTGTAAAAATTATATCGAGAATTATCCTGTACCCGTTCCTACCTAATCCAAATCCTATTCAACGGGTCCTTTGACGTCACAAAAATGTGGAACGCTATAAAAACTTCCCGCCTACTATGTATGATATAGGTGTTAGTCAGCCCTAAATCTTTTAGCCAGTGCGGGGTAACTCGAAGAAATTTACAGTTATAGAACGGCAAGAATCAGCGCATGTCCCTTAGAAAGACATCACACTAATCCAAAATTTGAATAGCATGAAATCCATAGCTAATGAATTAGAAATTTAGCAGTCAAGTGGTAAAATTTATTTGCGGGAAATGATGAATATTTCAAAAACCTTCTACTCCATTAAGTGAAGTTCATAATATAGGAACCAATAAGAATCTGATGTAGCAAACATGTTGAACGATGTTTGAATACCTTACCTGTTTGCACGAGTCCAATATTAGATTCATAAAAGTTTTTATTATTGATTAAGAAGTTGTGTTGGTCCTTTATCGTAATAAAATGACAGTATCGTAATATCTAGAAAATACTGTTTTTATGCTACTATTTATTTTCTGCTTCGCGCATTTCAAGATAATGAAGTCAGCAAGATCCATAATAATCAGAACACCATTGAATAAGGCATGTTTAGTCATGGAGCTCTTATCAATTTTGTGTAGTGGTATGTTAGTTCTGGGAATTATTGGGGTGAAACATAATGTCTAATCTATGAATCAAGAATCATAAATAATAAATCAAACGAGTACTAGACTGATTTCTACTTGGTAAGTGAAACTTCAAGATAATCGAAATCCCCAGGCAAAAAACAAATTAAATTATAGCTTAAACCAGGACTGGGCAAACTCTGCTCTGAGAGCAAGTCGTGCTCCCGACCTCTATTAGTATGTAACAAAGGGTAGATGAAAGTTCATTGTATTGGGTGATGGGTCTTTATGACCCAGGTCGTAAAGGCCCTTCTCCTCCGATGAGATCAACCGAAGTGGGGGTGACGCTTAAGAAAAGGAAAAGAGAAGAAATGAGACTCAAGTAAAGGAAAAGCAGAGAAATAAGTCGATGAGGAAAATTTCAATTTTTTTTCATTGTGTGCATTAAAAAATAATCAGATGCGCGACAAGTTTCACCCTTCCGGAGGATAAATTCTACCCGTAAAACGTCATTAGTCCATCTACCTCTCTCTCTAATACAATATGTGCAAGAAAGAGGCAGAAGACGCAATTATAACGCAATTTATCGCAACGGCCGGGAGACCCCTATTTTCTAAAATTTTATTCATAACAAATAGCTTAGCCAACTAGTTGAAATTTTACTTGCGCCATTTAATAGAAAAGCCTTTCAAGTACTTTCTGCGAAAATGTCAAATTTTTTGGCGGAAATTTTCTCGATAAACGAGACTATTGAATAGATGCGAGAAAATATTTTCTTTTACATCGAATTAATTCGTACCGGTTGGAAATTTATTCATTTTATTTCTCCAAATTGAACTCAGATTTTAAGGCAATATGATTCGGAATTAAAAGGAATTCTCATATCAGCTTATTCAGAAAATTGTTGTTCAGTTTTTGATTTTTCATTTATTTTTTATCAACTGCGACCGGCATTTTCCCAATTTCACCTTTGCCAAACGCTTCATGGGACACTCCCCACCTTAGTACCTGTGAAGCCCCCACTACTGCCCCCACTATGCTAGTAGTAAACCCTTATTATTGAAATGGTTGTAAACTTTATTGGATTTCTAATTTGAGTTTATGGCTCTGCTCCGAGCTACCTGGAGATTGCCCATGCCTGGCTTAAACTATAGTTTTGTTTTTTTTTCTGGGGATTTCAGTCAAACCGAATTTTTATTAACCAAGCATAAAGGATTCTAATTTTGGTGTACCTAATCCAGGCATGGGCAAAGTGCGCTCAATCGGCTCACCTAGCTCCCAACCTCAATTAGGCCAATGACTATAAAATAAGGGGTCCTATTGTACCGTGCAGGTAGTTGGAAGGGCGAGACCACGATGCTTGAGTCAGAGTGGGGGAATCGTTACGTCAGTCAACGCGCAAAAATTTGAATTTTTGAACGAAAAATGTGAATATTTTTCTTACTGCATTTTGCATTGTTAAAAAATATCAATTAATCAATTTTCCCTCTATTAACTTCCGCATAAAATTCCGTTGAATAAATTACTCTGAATTGAATATTTCAGCAGCAAATTAGTTGAAAAAAACTGTTGAAAAGATTTTTTAATTTTTGTTAATACAAAATTTTGTTAATAAAAGATTTGTTCCAATATGAATATTGAAAGAATAAATCGATTCATACCAAAAATGGAGTTAACAGAATCTGTTCATACAAATTATTTGAGAGAAATTTCCTTGCAGAACTTTCATGGTAAAATCATTTAGAGTTGTCTTCTTTGGCTCATATATCGGCAAAAAATAAGAAAAATAGATTAAAATGTAAGGAAAAATCCCATTCGTTTCAAACCCAGAGCTTTCTGTGGGACATTTCTATAAAAAAAAACTTTTAACTCCATTTTTGGTATGAATCTATTTATTCTTTCAATATTCATATTGGAAGAAATCTTGTATTAACAAAATTTTCTATTAACAAAAATTAAAAAATCTTTTCAACAGTTTTTTACAATCACAAACTTGTATAGGTTTCATAGAAATCTAATACAGTTCCAATAGAATGGATTTTGATTGAATTTTAAAAAACTGACATCTCATTTTTTTCCAATTTTTACTAAAATAATTATTCAATATTAAGGTAACCAAGAAATAATCAATTTCTGGCACCATGATGTTTGAACCATTACCCCCGATACAACTGAGGATTTACCACGTTGAATTGGTGAAAATTTGTTTCAATTTTTAGGCGGTAAGGTTTTTTAAATTTGAAACGAAAGCGCGCGGTGCTCTCTCTGTCTAACTGCGCCCCACTTCGTACACGCTGCAACTCCCACCCTTACTACGCTGGGCTCCACGCAATTGGGGTATTATATTTCTAATAATGGGTCTAATAGGGTTTTATGGCCCCAGCTCCCGAGGATCCGACTTTGCCCATGCCTGGTTTAGATCCAAGAAAAAACAAAAATCATTGAAATATGAATTTCTTTGATTGAAAACCATTCTTATCCTCTCAGTCGTCAAAAACGAAACGAAAGAATAGAGAGAAACAACAAGGAGGGAAGTACGTCGATAAATAGTCCTGAGGTAAACTATTAAATTCAATAATTTGAATAGCTACAGAAGGGTAGCGTCGGATAAGTCACTCGTGGTGTTCGTTCAGCGATGGTAGATGGTCAGGTGAGGTCAATTCAGAGTTTTAGTAAAGTGCTCAGGATTAGTAGATAAATCCATCTTCCTGTGTGTCCATTGTATTTAAATGTGCTAATAGGTGGCGTCTTTGGGGTCGACACACCGCCACGTCCTCGCCGTGGCCCTGAATAACGCAGAGAGCGGTGTATTAAATTTCATATCTCTCACACTGATTGTTTCCGGATAACAAGGTGACCAGATCCTTACTCAGGGGACGGAAACCCATTCAACCAAATAAAAAATATCCAGAATGGTTTGCTGGACCTCAAGTAGGCATTTAGCCTCGGCGCTTATGAAAAGCTTTCGGGCTGACTGTACCCAAGCCACAATAACCGACGTATTTTAGTTGCATACCCCTAATGAATTATGAAGAATTCGGACCGGAAAAAGGAATAAACATGAGCTGGTGTACTGTATAATTCGAACTCAATTCCAGTTCATGTACTTGAAATCTTAATATAAAAAGCTACAAATTTTCGAAAAATAAAGGAGCTGAGAATGAGTCAGCTCTTCTTACACATTACTGATCTAAAATATTTCAACTTCTTTTGTAATGCCATGTTGTGTAGACATTTGAATATTAAGGATATATCTTGCATGCAATAGAGAAAGATAAAAACATTTGAAACCTTTTTCAAGTGAAAATTGAAAATTCAAAGCATATCTGAACAACATGGATACTTTGAAGATACAAAACGAGATCAATAAGTGGCGAAATCATTTCTTAGATAGACCATTGCCACTTAATCCATGTCCGACATGCTTAGTCGTACAGTTGAAAAAATCAGCCAAGGCTGACTTTTAGGTAAGTCCAAAACTATTCAACATACCTTTAATAATTCAGAAGCTCCTGAGCGCTTCTCAACTTCGACCTCCAAGCACTGATCCAAAAAGTCCTGAAAAATTGGAGAAAGCTTTTCTTTCTCTTTGATTTCGGGTTTTCCGTTCGTTGCGATCAGGTACAGTGCTCGAAGGGGATTTTCATTGAGATACGGGGGCTCACCCTCGATCATTTCTATTGCCATGATACCCAGTGACCAAATGTCCACCTGATAAAATTGATCATTTTAGTCATAGAAAATGTATTTTAGTCATAGCAATTTATGTTGGAGAAGGTCAGAAAATAATCAAATTTAGAGGTTTCTTTTTCTTCCGGTCAATGGAAAACGGTGTTACTTTGGTGATTGTTCAAACTGTTGATAATTTACAGATTATTTCGCCGTACTGTCAACGAAAAATTTCTAGCTAACATAAAATAACTAGATAGTTATGTTCGTGGGAATCACAATAAGTGTACAATTACAGAATCATCATCCAAGTAAGTGATTCTGTGACACATTATTAAAAAACTTAAATGAATCTATTGGCCCTAGGTATGGTACATGATGAACGTTTAGAGCCTCTCCCATGATACAATGGGATTTATATTCGATTAAGTATTACATAGAAAAATACTAAGACAAAAAATATATTTTAGCAAAAAAAAATTTTTGAGAGTAATACTCACTTTGGGTCCATATTGTTTTCTCGTAACAACTTCCGGTGCCATCCAGTACGGTGTACCCACCATCGTAGTTCTTTTACTTTGTTCTGGCGATATTTGTGCGCAAAATCCAAAATCGGTTAACTTAACACCACCATCCAATCCCAGTAATATATTATCAGACTTAATATCCCTATGTATAACTTGATTACAGTGTAAAAACTCAAGTGCTTGTAAAACTTCACGGCATACCGCTGCTATTTGTCCTTCATCCATACAGGTTTCAGTCACAACATCTGTTAAACTACCGCCAGGAAGGTACTCCATTACTACCCAGAGTTCTTCACCAACGAGGTAACTGTCCAAATAATTAACCACATTTGGATGTTTATTCTCCCGCATAACTAGAATTTCATTTATAATCAATTCCTTCTTTGGTTGTTGCGAAAGATTCATCTGTTTTATTGCCACTTCCATGCCTGTTGAAGTTTCAATCGCCGTGTAGACAGTACCGGAAGCCCTGAAATCATTTTTTATTCGACTAAGCATAAACAAGTTTAATTTCGACACAGTGGTATTATCCTTCGGACGTTATCTAGATATCTCTTTTTCTGAAATTCTGTAGAGAAAATTCTGTACTTCTTAATTATATAAATGCGTTCATATATCGTCCATTCACAACCACAACTCATCCAAAAAAAAAGCCCCTTGAGAAGCATGTCTAATATTTTTTTTAAGCATTTCTTAATAAACCTCTTACTACGTGATAAATATCATTTGCAACAAAAAATGAATATATTGAAAATGCTGTTGAATCAATAAAATAAAATATGACATGAGGACATTTTCCTGTTCGGACTTCTTCTGCTGATTGTTTGTTTATAAAATTAGGCTTCATCTGAACATTTACCAATAATTAATTAGGGGGAAATATGGTTTTTAACAAAATGCCGATATTTTTCAGCAATTTTTTCTTCAGATTATGAATAATAATGCTTAGTCAGAAAATGATCAATTGAATGCCGTTTTCCAAGTATTTGTTGATAGCTTCGTTACAAACACATGAGAGTGTCGAGTTTTTCAGGTTTAAAAATCTTGAATGTTTTGTAACGAGATTTTTGCAAATCCCGCACATTGAACCAATTTTTGGATACTTCTCTTATCTGCTATCTCGACCATTCCCGGGAATTTCTCGAATCGTCGAAGGGTGTGAGTGCTTAGGGTGTTAGGAGGCCTGGAGACAGGCAACAGCACAGGGCGGACACGTGGAAACATTCCAAGCTCCTCTATCAGACTTCCTGGCACATAGCGTAGGACTCATCTGGCGTATGAGCGCGCCATGTTAGATGGAGTAGGCATTCGAACGGCTGACCCTTCGAAGGTGTTGTTCGAAGGGATCAGTAGCGACATTCGAATTTGGCGCGCTCCAGGAGAGGCTAGTGTCAGGGATATCCTCCCTGAGGCGACGGCAGTACGTCCCGGTACACGGCAGCCCACCCAGCCGTAGTCGAGAGTGGGAGGGACATCGGCAATACTGCCCACTCACTCGGCAGAGCCGCTTCGGCTGGCTCGCAGTATGGGCCACTGGCAGCTCTCTTTCGAGTCCTTGGTAGACTCCCCATGCCCCGCGTTGGTCTTCAGGTTCTCTAGGTGAGGGCTACGCTCTCCCTGGTAACGATCTCCGGGGCAATACTGCCCTCGCGCGACGTTTTCTGGGTGAGAGTCCTACCCTTCCGGGATACGCTATGTTTGGGGCTACCCTAGTGAAGCCGCCGCACCCTTAATGGTGTGATTTGGGCGAGTTCCTCCCCACGCTCTCGGCCTCCCGGCACTCCGCTATCTTACGTCGTGCTCTCGACGAGATAGTTCTCGAGGCTAGATTTCGCGTCTCGGACTCCCGCAAGTCCGCTCTCGGTGTCCCGATCCACGCGTCGTAATACTTCGCGGTCTCTCTTACGGATTATTAGAATCGCGGATTCGTGGACACCAGCCCTCTCTCCACGACCTAGCATCCTGAACGACCCAGGCCTTCTCGCTTCCGTCCCAATAGTCATCCGCTTCTAGCCTCTCGCGGGCAGTTTTCGGTGACACCCCGTCCGGTGTAATTGATGGTTTTACGGTTTTTACCAGATTTATGGATTTTGTGTTGTCGCGAAGACAAGTTTCAACCCCGCTCGTCCTGTCCCTTCGTGTTCTTGTTTTCTGATATTCTGGGATTTTCGGTTTGATGAGGTCGACTGATAGGCAGGGCACCCCACCTCCTTGCCCTCGTTTCGGTATTTTCGGTTTTCGTTAACTTTTGGCCGGTAAAAAGTTAGATGGCGCCCACATTAATTCTGTTGAATCATAAGAATGCGAGTATGGGAACGGGCGAAGGTAATAACTATCGCTGATCTCCGGGATGAGATCGGGAAACGTATTACAGTTTGCGCAAGGAATTTTGCTGCAATACTTCACATTTTGGGTTCTTTGTCCGGAAGATTGAGTAAAATCCCTACTGCACTTTGGAAGCGACGGATCATTGGAAGGCGTCATTTCATTTTTATGTGATACAATCTCACCAATAACATGACGTTCGAAAAATCTCGAATAACTTAAGCTATGCACTTGTTATACTGAAGTCAGCATAAGTTTTAACATTGATTTTAGGAGTGGGGGACATGGTTACAAGTGGTAACTACGTGGAGTGGGGGTACCCAGAGAAGTAAAAACTTATGCTGACTTTAGTATACTTGTGGCTATTCGCTATCATACAGTAAAAATATTTTTTATGTTATTGCGGCCGGTCAAACGCATTTCTAACCTCTTCGCTTCATTCTTCGCTTCGCTCTTCGCTGAGTCGCGTTCGTCAGATTCACTTGTTCCGTCCCAGGTGTCAAAAATACTATCGGCTGGCTGAAGGTTAACAGCCTGCGCCAAAGGCGAGAAAAAAGAAACACGTTGCCGAACAAGTATTTGAAAATAGTATATTCTGCTTTAGCAACGCGACGTGATTTTCCTGACATTGAATACCGTTCTCCCATCGGCGATAATTTCGATTACTGAAGCAATCGTTAAATATTTCGCCCACATTAGAGATAATCAATTTTTTTTCAACGTCCTGAAAATATATGTAAAAATCTTCGAAAAGAAGGATTTTTTGTTGCATTCACTGAGGATTTTCAAATTTTATAGAGCAAATGCTTTGTTCTTTTGCAATTGCAGTAATCTCAAGAACCCACTCGGTTTTTGACATTCACCAAAAAGAATGGTTTGTGAATTTTCTGCCTACATGCGCCGAAAGTGAGCATTCTAACCTCACTTCGTTCGGTTAGAAACGTCACTTTCGCCGCATATCGACAGAAAAGTCGTATGCAACCCTCGGGAGGATAATCAGACAAGCATTTCCCACGTGCATACCACCCTCGCATTCGGCTCGGGTGGTAATTTTGCACGTGGGAAGGACTTGTCTACTTTTCCTCCCTAGGTGAGCAACATACTATTCCCTTTGTATAGAGATCGTGATTTCAATGAATGTATTGTGTCTCTATTAAAATCTCGCGGTCCCTCAATTTTTTATCGATATGCCGCACAGTTTTCAAATTTATGGCTTTACCATTTAAAGAAATTTGTCGATAAATTATAAAATTGAAAATATCCAAATTCAATTTCTGGAAACTCTATCGATTACCATAAAAACGATGCAAACATTAGTGAATTAACTGTGTATAAATTTATAAATAACAAAAAATTTCGTTTAAGAAACTGAACATTATTATTTTCATTAATAAAAGAAAATTACTTTGATCTATTTATACTTCTTAAATATGATAATGATCTTAAAATCCCTCTAAACTTGGTGTTTACGAATTTCCACGGAAAAAAATGCATTCATTCATACAATAGTTGGATTCATTTTTGTATAATTTTTCGATTTGCTTGTTTATTTATAAAAAAAATGTACCAATCTACTGCGAAACTATGATGTTATTTCATACCAAAATATTTGTCATCCTATCGGAAATTTTTAGTGAAAATGTCTAAGACAAAAAATCTACGTCCCCTACCTAAACCATAGAAATTGAAAGCGAATGTAACCAATGACGGCTCCTCTTAATGATTTCTTTACAACCTTGAACAGCGTTAAAGATGAATTTGCTAGCTCTACCGGGGAATACAATATGTAGATAATCCTTCCTATTCCAAAAAGGACACGCTTGACACAATCGATTATCTCGAAAATCTCGAAATCATGAAGCCACGATTCGTCATTGGTCCACCTAAAGTGGCACGAGATTACAAAGTCGTAACTCTCTTATAGAAATCGTTTCATACCCGCGGGCTGGCGCGCGGTACGGATTCTCGTAATTTCAAAAAGGTTTATCATGAAAAAACACGATATTATCAAAAAACGATAACTTCCGCAGTTATTGCTACTTTACCTAACTCATCAGGGAAAAAATTATGAAACGAATTCTCGCCATAAATTTTTCTGGGCTTTAAATCTGATGTGGGAGTTGTACAGAAGTACCCCAACAAAAGTAAGAAAGAATAGAGACGGTTCTCATGCTACCGCCTCGTGAATGTAATGCAGAAACTGCCACTTGATTGTCATCTTAGATTTCATATCAATTATTTGGTGTCAATGACGATTATGTTGAAGTGAGAGGATCATAAAAGATCTGGGCAAGTGTCTTGTTTCAATAAGTTGTGTACCTATAGCGCATATAAAGGATTACGAAATGTATCAGCTGATCATCACTTCTATTTTCATGTCTTTTTTTCCGAGGAATGATAATTATTCGTGGGTGAACACACAATAAAAATGTTATAAAAAATTTTTAAGATTTTGTGAAGCAGCCTTTTTTCTATGCCTATGTGAGAGGTACGCGAAGATAATGAAAAGATAAAGAAAATGAATCTAACAGGACTTTAATTATGTATGTTATCTTCTTACCACTTTGAATGTTTTATGCAGATTTCTGGCAAACAGTTAGAATTTATAAGTCACCAACTCCGCTCACCTACAACTATTCTTTATTTTGTTTAAAGCTTTGTGAATTTTTTAGGGAATTTAGAAAAGACGTAGAAAAAAATTAGGCGGTGATGACTCATTGAATAATGACTAATAATAATGGTAAAGCTAACAACGGTATATTTTGTGGAAATAATCTGAATAATAAGTTGCCAAAATCTGCGAAAATGGAGGAGGTGGTGGGGAGAAAACAACACATCCTTGTTACAACAACGCGTCCTAATTAGAAACAATTCTAACGCACTTTCCATAATATTACTCCTTCGTAGAATACTCTCATAAATAACACATTTCATATTCAATCTGCCATACAGAATTGATACTATTGCTTTGCTATTATGCTAATCAGTTTAAAAAATGATACATGACAATTTCTTAGATCAGTTGATAGTTATCAATTTTTCCTGAACTCAATTATTTCCTGAGCTAAATACGAAATAGTGACTATAGAATTTTAAAACATTCTATAGCTATCCATCAAGTTATTACAGGAATGGTATAAGCATAGTTACCCTTGACCAATTTTCTCCATCTTATTGTACTTTCTGTTTGGATCACCAACACTAACTATTGTCCTGAGTTTTTCCAATATCTCATCATCGGACATTTTTTTCTTGCGAGCCCTATCACTTTGAGCCGGCCTCGATTGATCAGTCGCGGTTGGTGTTGGACTCGCTTGATTTTTATTTCTGTCAAGCGACTGATGTTGTGGTTGAGGAGTCCCATTTCGCTGAGGTGAACCCAGAGACGTGGAGTGTGGCGGTGGTAATGTTTCTTCTTCAATTGGTTTGGTGTACTTGACATTAGTGGAATAAACATATTTAATTATTTATTTCGTTGAATAATTTCGATGCACAGAGTATGAGATAATAATTTATTAAAAAATGTATGAATTGGAAGTGGAATAAAAATACATACAATTGATTTCGTGCGATCAGGCCTTGCAGAAATCGGCGGGGGTGGTGGGTCATCTTCCTGTTCAGAACTGGTTGCACATGCGTCTGTTGGTGTACTACTTGGACTACTACTGCTAACTCTGTAATTCATTATTGCGGAAAGGCTTGTAATGAGGATGAAAATATTTCGACGTAATACGAAAGGATTATTTATTGATGAGAATAACGAGAATTTATGAAACGCGTTGGTTTACAATGGTGAATTGCCTGTGTTACAACAGAAATCTAGATTTTGCTCTTTTTTCCGTAATTTTCTTATGTAAAAGGGAAATTCGTAAATGCAGATAGGAATTTCACCCCAATATTATGCCAAAACATTGCATTCATGCTAAAAAATAAAAATTCCCCCAACGATTTAATTAATACATTGTGCCACAATTAACACATTGTGCCACAATTAGCACATTGTGCCACAATTAGCACATTGTGCCACAATTAACAGATTCTGCAAGAAAAATTGATTTCCGAAAATCAATCATCCAGCTCATTCATTACTAACTTTTCATCTTTCCAATTAATCTTTATAGTGAAGGTCATCATGACGATACATGCTAAATTCTCCCTCATTCGCATTGAAATCAGAATATTGTAATTACTGGAGGGACCTTACCGAACAATCGAATGTCTTGCAAAATGTCTACGCTTAAACTATTAAGCCAAAGATTGGCGAAAAGAAAGTTTACCTACCGACTCAATGACTGCTGCGAATGCGAACTACCAGAGGCCTGTGATATCGCCTGTCCACGAATATTTCCCATTCCAATGTTTACGGTCATCCCCATACTGCGTGGACTACTCGCTCGGTCTAAAGGAGCTGAATTAATTTAAATGATTTTAATCATTAAATTATCAAGTTATACTAATTCATCAAGTAGTCAGAACCGAAATGGTACTTTTCATGGTGAGACTGAAAGGAGCCAAGTGTATAACAGGTAACGTGTTGGAAAAATAGGTAAATCTGAGGTTTACAGTCCGGCGTGTGGGCAACATGTAAGATACATAAGGTACATAAGCAATTTCATGATTCACTGTCCAAAAAGTTTCATTCATCGAAACTCTAGCCAACTCGATTTTTGCGAAGTATATTATAAAACAGTATAGAGCACTCGGCTATAAATTACGTTTACAATTGAAGTCTGCATGGACTATCTGTCGAACGGAATCTTTTATTTGAATTTTATCTGGTTAGCCGAAAATATATAAAAATTGGGCATACAAATTGTGTTGCGGAAGGCACTTCAATGATTATAAAAAGATAATGAAAGAAAACCGGAATAATTGTGATAAGGAGGTAAAGAACAATATTGACATAAAGGAATTTGCCAAGTTTACAGAAATAATAATAAAAAAATACACAGTATACCGGCTACCATAATGGTGAAGAATAAATTTGACAGTCAAAAACAATATATAGTCGAAATGGACTGTCCAATGTTGCAGATGGTAAACTGCGTATTTTTTATTTATTTATTTTGTTTTTTCAAAATAGTCGGCTTTTACCACCTACAATTTTTTTTCTTTTTTTCTTTATTTGTACAATTTATATTCCAGCTTTTCATATATTTTAAACTAACAACATGAAATTCAAACTAAAAATCACGTTCGAAAGATAGTCAATGCCGACCGTAAAGTGAAAAAATGAACATACAAAACTATCCTTCTTGCCCAGTATCATGAAATTTTATGCACGACGTGTACAAAAAAAGTACTTTTTGACACGTGCGAATATCTGCGTCACATCTGTAACGCCCAAACTTGACAAAAAGTACTTCTTTTCACGTATATGTAACGAATAACACCATACTTCGCGAAAAAAAAGTACCCGCTTGTACACTAATGTATTATTACTGTCCCATTTGTGTAACGTGTCAATTGTAATGTGAGATTGCACGTGAAGTGTTTTAATCAAGTCATAAACAGCATTTTTTGACATTACAATTTTACGAATGAAAAGTCAGACTCGGATTTAAATTTGAAAAAATTTTGTTATACCCGAAAGAATTTCATCTGAGTTATAATGACAGAGCTAAATTAAAAAAGACCATCTATTATACTGTGGACAGAAAGTCTCGAAGGTTCGTCATTTCGGCATCATACAGTAAAATATCATAACACACAAGTAACCAAATGTTATTTCCAAAAAATATTCGACCTCCATTTGACCTGCATTAGTAATCCTCACAGTTCTAATAAATGAAATTCCCAAATTTCTTAAGCCTTTTTCTAAACAAAATTATAGGATACAACGAATTGCTCTTCAAAAATTAATACTCCATTAAAAGAGGAATTCTCTTTTATTTTCATGTCCAAATCGTGTTAAATCTTGTAAATTACACCTAATTCATTTGAACGGTATGACGGTATCACAGACATATTGACGAACCTGCATATGCGGAGGGTCCCATTTCGAATAGCACGATTAAATAACTCTTGAAAGAGGACAGTAACCCCAAAAACTTTTAAATGAAAATTATGAGGTTCGACGGCGGATAACTGATATGAAATATGTTTCGAGTATCAATGTTCTTGATGTTCTGATGCTGCATTTTTTATAGATAGCAAAAAGATCACAGTCACAAAAGTTATTCCCTTTAATGCAATGAATGAAACCACTGATACCGTATTTCATAGTAATCTATGCTTTTTGGGCGTAATGTTACGTAAATTATTTAATATCAATTGAGATTTTGTTAACGTACCCCAGGGTTACTACGTGGAACCTGTTGAACAGAAATTAGTTTTCAAGCAACAAACAGCAAACACGAGGGTAGATATGAATAGTTGAGCATAGACAATTTTTCGAATGATTTCGCGTATGATGGTTTATTCAAGTAGTGAAGTAGTGAATATTTCATTGATTTTAGAAAAACTTCGAAGTGAATATCGACCTGGCTCTCGATTGTATAGAGAACGATATCGCTACCGGTTCAATTATCACTTGACTTCGGCCATCAGGAATATCGAGAGAAATCGGCAAAAAGAAATTGTCAAGAAGTCTTGAGATAGAATGGGGTTTTTTACTCGTGTGGAGTTTAATGAGCCGAGCTGAAGGCGAGACGGTCAGCCAGACGAGTAAAAAAATTCCATCTCAACAGTCTGGATATTATTTTTCCGTAGCCATTTTCAAGTTCTCGAGTTTGGGAAGTATGCAGTACCAGTTCCCAGACAAGAAATCGTGAGAAACAGTACGGAAAAGACATTTTTCCAGTTTCTCTATTTCGCATAAGGGATGCGAAGCTGACCTCACTTCCATGCCGTGAATCCTGAGTAATTAAAAAAAATCTGAGTTGAGAATTTTAATATTGAATGAAAACGGTACGTAACATTTCCCCGAAAAATAAATTGAAAAAAAAATATGGTGTCTGAAATTGTTTCATGAAAGGGCATAACTTCTGTAGAGCTAACGGTCTTGGTTGCCTTTAAAGAAGATGCAACATAACTCGCTGCATCAGAGCATAAGCATTTATATCAGAAACACACTTTGTACGAGTTTGTCCACCGTCGATCACTATAATTTATAATTTATTACAATTTATAATTTGGAAGTTTTCCATGCAAGCTGCGTGTTCACGTTGCTCTGTCTGTCACCGCAATGGCAAAAAACATTGTTCATCTTGCGGATAATCAAAATCTTTTTTTCGTTCATACGAATATAATTATTTCGTTCATACGAATATACTGATCGTCGGATTTTCCGAGAAGCTGCTTTATGTTAGAAAATTTTCTTTTGGCCTAGTGTTGAAGTACACTATTTGGATGCTAAAGATGTTTAAAGATGAAATACGCACCACCGACTCCAACCATTTTTGTTGTGGTCATGTACTTGGAACCCTTCGCTTCTTTGCTACTGCTGTCATACCAGTTCAGAACATCCAGCACTGCCTGGGGATTTTTTTTCTGCTCCTGTTTGCTGATATTGCTCGACATGAGTAGTCTTGCCCATGCTTCCGGCATTCCCTATAATTCAATTCAAAGATTTCAATCTAAAATTGAATCATTAATACCTGTGAGCATAATATAAAAAAAGTTTGTAATAGAAATAAGACTGTGCATCCTTAACAAATTTCATGCTTGCAACAAAAACAATATGTAAACTAATTCACGAGGGATGAATGGCGCCAAGAAGAAATCATGCATTTTACTGAAATTCCGGTTTCTATCAATCCAATCAAATTCTATACATATTTTATCAAAGATAATTACAGTCTGAAAAACATTAAACAATAATCCAAGAGACTTCTTTTTTTAACACTCTTTTTGGAAATGAATTTGTAGTTTTCAAAAGAAGTAGTTTCATAAATCTTCCTAAACATACTTGTTTTTTGGAAATTAACTGGATAATTGACATTTAAAAAATTGTCATCATTTTATGACATTATCTACCAAAGCTGGTCATAATCATGACTGTTTACCGGAATCCTAACAGCATATTCATGAGATAGTAATTTATGTATTTTATGTAAAAATTTTTGTCATTCATAAATTAATTAATATATCTCAGGAGATTTTCAAGTCAACTCAGCTAGGCATTTTATAATGTTATTGATTCACTCATTTGTAAGCAACGTTGACTAAAGCATATGTGAGGCCTTCGAACTCATTAAAGAATTATAAATAAAATGAAATATCTATACTCTAAATCGCAACATAACTCCACAATTGAATTTCATGAGAATAATACAGAATTGCCCATCTGTTATTAACCCATCAATACAATTTTACTTACTTTCAGTGGCAGCTTGAAAGAAATACGTGTTTGGGTTAGTTTTACACGTGAAAAACTGAAGCAAATAAATATGTATAAAAAGCATTGGATAAATTACTGAAATTATTGTATGATAATGTTCCATACATCTTCATACATATGGTGTCAGATTATAATCATTATAAAAACCATAATCAAATTTAATATCATACAGGGGACACGGAAAATCCAATTCCTTACAATCTTTCACATCTTCTGCATCAAGTCATCATTCCTCATACAGTATTGCAATTCTACTCAATAGCTACAATCTCTAATCTTGCATCATCCCAAATATGACTTTTTTTCATTTGGATAATCCGTTCCGACCTTATTTTACTAACAGCAAAGCAGTAAGCGAGTGCATTATTATCAAAATCAAAAAATTGTCAATGATTTAATAATAAATAAGTTGAACATACCGTAAATTCTCCAGTGACAGCATCGAAACCCACATGGACTGTGTGCTCGAAATTTGTTGGATAACTGATATTAGGCTTATCTTTATTCTCTTTCACTTTCATTTTTCCTTTTAAAATTTTCTTCTTTCTTTCGTCCGAGTCTGGTTCCTTTGGTAGTGGACGCATATCCACTGGCAAATTTGGTGCTGATTCGCCCCTGTAAAAATGCACTAATTTCATTCTGTCATTCGTGACGATTTCGAATATTAAATTATTTCTTCTATAACAATCGTATATTTCTGTTCGAATACATAATTTTTCATTCAATACGAAATAATTACATATTACAGTTGCATAAACGTTGAGTACTTGGTTGATTTGACTCCTGCAAGGGAATGAAGTATATTTTGGAAATAAGTATCTGTTACCCCTCCCGCAACGGCAGAATATCATAGTGTCTGGACTGTGCAATATATTTTTAGCACCAACTGAATCGGTGGCTGTTGATCTATTTTAGTAGACAGACGTACATTTTACGTATCATAATATATACCACAAAAAAAAACGAGAACGTGAATTTCCAGTAAAAATAATACGTTATTTCCCAACCGAAATTATGTGGAACATAGTTAATCCCTTTTTCCTGGGTTCAAACGCCATAAATTTTGTGTAATGTTCGTCATCGTCATTTAACACTGTATCATGTACTGTCTCCGTACTTGTGATTCTAAGAATAATTTTTTTTTGTAAGTAATAAAAGACGGAGAAGAAAGGCTGAAAAGACGTAAATTTACCTGTTGGAAGTAAGCCGAACTGGAGGTGCAGGTGGTTTGTCTTCTTCATCTGACATGATGATCTTTATAGTGAAGTCTGCAGTCAGGCTCTTCACTGCGTTGTTTCAACTTCTAGACACGCAATATAAACTTCTTCCTTTTTCACAATGTCATTAGTACTTATCAATGATTATTATAATTAAACGCGGAATTATAAGTGTTGGCCCAACAAGTTCATCAGCAGTGCCTCGTTCTGGGACTTAATCTTTAAAGACAATTATCAGTATATTTTTCAAGAGCATTGGTATCTCAATATTATCTTGTCCCCGACCATACTTTGAATTCCACTTGTTAAAGATTTTTCAATCGATCAGTTGATGTTGACAGATTTGCCTTCGTTTTTCTCTTGGTTACCGTAGAAAATCGGCATCATCTCGTCCTTCCTTTTCCCGTATTCTAAAAACTATTTCAAAATTGGTAAGATTTTTTTCAGGGGCGAAGAAAAAATTCATACGTGTGCTAATTTAAAATATAATTTTAAATATTACTACTAAAAAAATGTGTTTTTCCGAATCATCAATGTGAAAAAGTTCAACATGGACATGTACATGTTTGATAAAAAAATTATAATGAAAAGTCGTCTCAAGGTGTCTCTATAAAAACGTGAGCAATTCCTTTACAGATTTGTAAATAACTTTCTGTGCTCCGGTTGTAATCCAGATGTTCTCTGTTTCGAGGACGTTGAAGGATATTTGATGGAGATATAAGTTGTAAAAATTGATGAAGGAGGAATTAAATTGTTGATACTCACCACAGTCTAAACCGAACAGTTGGGCGCCGCCAGAAGAGCGTGAATCACCACACGCACTACACACACAACTTACGAACGAGTGAATCCACAACCCCAGTGTATTGATGATGACTTGAGAGAGCAAAGCAAAAATCATTAAGTATCATTGGTTTAGACATTCGCCATCTCCCTCTCTTTCTTCCTTCTATTGACGATTTTTTGTTGAATTTCCACGAAGTCAAGGTAACTCTAGCATATTATTGAGTTCGTTTAGCTACTCCTGCAGCCGAGCAACACGATGTACATTATTAGTTTCAAAGGTTTCAACACACAGAGAGAGGCACAATCATGTACAAACCAAATGCAACCAACAAAATGAGAAATAATCACGTCTTAAATAATGCTGATAACATGGGAATTAATAAAAGTTTCTTTAGTTTCTTTTATTTTGTAGTAATAAAACAATTGTAAATGATTGAATTGATAAAAACCACGGAATGACCGGCCACCATCACGACGGTTTTCGGGTTCTCGAATTCTCGAATTCTCCTCCTGTTGGCTGATGGCACGACTAACTCGACCGTCGATCGTCGACGACGCAAGCGCCTTCTTCATCTTCATAAAACTACCCCCTCCTTTCACAGTATTTTCAAAAATTACCGCCTCTCAACAGATACTCAAAACCAGTACTACCATTTTTGTTAGGATTGGATAATAATTTGTTATAAAGACCACAAATGGGCTAAGGGGCAATTTATGTTAAAAATCAGTTTTGCAAACAGCCCTACACCACAACAACGTTATTAAAAAATAATTAATTCCGTAATTCAGGTTACTTGAAAATACATTACACAGCATTGTTACTTGATTAATTCGAATTCATAGTGAATACTTATTTTTTTATCGATTAAAAACCTATACAAGAAAAAGTTAGCACCTCATTTCTAATTTTATAAATTGAAGATCAAAATAAACATTGCCAATATATTTGACATTGTTTGTATTCGAAAAACCAATTAGAAATTAATAAGTAAATTTTTCCGTTATTTTATAATTATAACTATTAATTAAAAGGGAGATGAAGATTTATATTGAATCGAATCGGAACTCTCGAACATTGAAGCCTTAAATCTGCCACACTCATATCTCACTCAAAGAGGATTGACGTAAGTAGAGGCTCAATTCTCGGGGTTTGACTGTGTTGTATATAATAGTATCAGCGACTTGGCTACAGTCATCCCAAAAACAAATCCTTAGCACCTGCACTGAGAAAAAATTCTACCACAAATTAGTGTGCTATTCACCAACCCATGGGACGAAACCGAGGTCAACAAAAAATTCGAATGACGCCCCCCGAAAAATTCGGATGTGGCACCCTAGTTTTTGACGAACTTACGCTACTTTTCCGTGAGGCTCCCTTGAAAATTGGGGCGCCATATCCGAATTTTTTGTTGACCACGGTTTCGTCCGGTGAGTGGCAGTTGGCACCACATAATTGAAAATTCATTAGTTTTTTTATTTAGATCAATAGTAGGACCTTTGTACATCATTGTAATACCATTAAAAAATTTTGTAGACCCTTCATTATTTTGTAATTAATTATACAAAATAATGATCGGAAGTTAGCACCCCACCCCACTAATTTTTATTTGTAGCCTGAAATAATATTAACCAATCGAAAGCAAATCGTTGGTAGATAATAAATAAATTGGTATCATCCTTCTACACCTGATTGTTCATTAGATATTAATTAAATTAAAAAGTGGTCTGTAGTGTTTACATCGGCGCATGCGCAGACACGTACCCACGCACAGTTTGGCACCATGCACTTGGAAGCAATATCGTTCTTTAATTAACTTTTCAAACTTTTTTCTTGCTAAATATTTAGGTAGTAAATTGGTGAAATTTAGGAGAACATGATTAGAATTTGGGACTAATTAGTTTTCGTTTAATTTTTTTT